GGTATATGAGGGTACAAAATCTGTCTTCATTGTCAGTGTTTTAACCTTTGTTTCTTGTGGTTACAATAACTCAAGCACTATACAATTAGAATCTAAGATAGGCATTCCAAAGCTGCCTCCATCTGTTTGCTCCCCTTCGCTACTGAAAAATAGAAAACAGACAGGGCAGCTGGGGTAAAACAGGGATTGTACAGTAAATTTTCTACATAACATTTATCGCTATACCTACACTGAAAACACTAAATGAAATAGAATTTGTAGACAATGTGCACAGAATAAAATAGAAGATAATCTGCACTTTGTTATGATATCAATTAAAACACCAACAAATCATACAAGACATTACATTTCCACAAGAAACACAGGATGATCTCCAGCAATTTAATTTCTTGATGACTTCAAAAGATGTTGTAATAATAAAGAATATAGGTAACTATATTCATAACTCATTTCAATCTAGAAATAAAAATGCTGGCTCATACAGTGTATGTAACACTTGCTTTACCTCATTAGCAACTTTCTTTTCTTTTATAGTATTTTTTATAACAACTAATCTTTATTGCTATTAACTGATAGAAGCATTGTATTTCTAAAGATGCAATAAAATTATTATAATAATTATTGTTATTATTACACTAAAAGACTGAATAATGTTTTTATTTAATTATTTTTCTAATTGCAAGTCAGTAAAATGGAGTAATTTTGGATTTGCTGACAGAGATGGAACAGAGAGTACAATCTGGATTGGCAGTGAAGGATCACATACACCATGTCATTTTGATACATACGGATGCAACCTGGTGGCACAGATACACGGCAAGTATGTCAATATATTCATCCATCTTGTTGTTAATCATAATTCCAAAATGATGCTATATTCATTTTACTCAGACCAAGAGAAAGCAGGAATTGTTTTTCTTCGAGATTTAGCGTATGTCAAAGTATTTTTATCCCCTGACTGGGTACAGTCTGTGGGCTTATGAATTGGTTTCTGTCAATCGCATAATCCCAGAAGTTCAATTTTTTAAACCGGATACATTGAAAATGAATGACTTAAAAACGTAGTGCCTTATCTCCAAGTTGTGATGGTTGATTAGATTTTATTGAACAACCAGTGGCATACTGAGGCACATACATTATTTTTCAGATTTAATTTTCAAAATTGGCAGACTAGCGGCCATTTTGTGGTTCTTAAATCTTTATGTTTGATCATCTTAGTTTATAACTTGAGGGTACAATCACTAAATTGGTACAGAGGCAATATATTATTTCACGAAAAAGGAAGCTGATTTTTGTCAAGATTCTATCTAATATGGCCCACCAGCAGCCATTTTGTTTAATGAAAATTACAAATTTTCTTTTTTTTTGCACAATTTTGCTTATACATGTATCTCAAACTCACACTGTCCAGTTACATCCAAACTTGGTTAACAAAAAATTGTGTTTTAACCGTCAAAAAACTTTGGTTTTACATTTTGCCAATCAGTATACACGTAAATCACACACATTCAATTGTCTGGCAGTACATGTACTTGTCATACAATAATACAGGGAATGTATCTTGTTTAATTCAATCTGTGGGTAACTGTAAACAGTAATAATCAAATTCATAGTGTCCGTCAATAAAAAAACATGTTCATAACTACATGTATAATAATATACAATCTTCATTTATGATATTATTTATTCAATAAATCTGGTTGTTTTTAAATAAGTATTACAAAAGTCTAATTTAATTTTAGGAAAAAATGGTCTTTGTTTGCCCCACACCAGACAGCAATGTTGTACCCTACTAGGATCCCATATGAGGAATCCAGCGTATTCAGTCATGTCAATATCACCAATCCTGATCTAAAAAAACATCCATGTTTTCAAGATGCCACACCGTACGTAATTACATTGCAGCCTGGTGATGTGTTGTATGTGCCAAGACATTGGTGGCATTTTGTGGAGTGTTTGACTCCAGCTATCAGTATAAACACATGGATTGAACTGGTGAGTATTATGGGTTGTCTAGTCCTTAGTCTAATTAGTCTAATTCTAAAAATTGGATTTTCCAACTCGATTAGAGGTAGGGAAGAAGTTAGACAAATTTAATCAATCATGGTTAACCCAGTTTTTGCAAAAGTCTGCTCATTCAGTCAACAGAAACTATTTCCTATGCAATAAAGTTGCATGTTTCAAACTACTCTATGGATTGAGTGAAACAGAATTTTACCCCACTCCTCTCCACCCCAGGGGTAAGGTGGGATGTACCTTATTGAACTGCATTGGCATGTTGTAGAAAATTAAAAAAATATCTCATAATACTACCCTGCAATATATACCAAATTTTTCCAACTTGCCTTATCACATTAACCACTTTGTGTCAAACAGAGTCAATACCACATTTTACCTGGCCACTTGTTGGCCACTTTGTAGCAATACTGGATTTTGACTAATTGCCTGATCACAATATGAATTACTTTTTACTGGATTGCTAACATGTTACAATGCGATACTATTCAGTAAATGTTCATTGCAGTATTTTCTAAGTTTCCTACCAACTGGGCAATACATGTACAGAATGCTACTACTAATGTGGTTCTCAATGTAGAATGTTAGAAATATTACTTTAATACTGAAAAAAATAACTAATTTGGAAAGATGACAATGTTTTTCACCAGTTATTGTCTCCATTCTTTTTCTTACTAGAATGTGGATAACCAAGCCCGGTTAGAAGAGTCTATTGTTCGACTAATTACATGTAATATGATGTCATCAAAGAATACCAATGATGGTTCATGGCTGAATCCAACAGAAGTAAGTATTCACTGACCAATCAAATTCATGCATGCACAGAATCTTTTGACCAATCAAATTCGTGCTTGCACAGAATTCACCGACCTATCAAGTTCATGCATGCACAGAATTCACCAACCTATCAAATTCATGCATGCATAGAATCTTTTGACCAATAAAATTTG